ACTAAGGGCGACTATTCGCGCCTGCTCGTCACGCTGGTCCTGCTCGTAGTGAGGGTGTCGCTGTTGCCGCCTGGCTGTGTGCAAGAAGAAGAATTCGAGCACAAGCTCTTCACACCTAGGCTCTTCACAGCAGACACGTCCTGACCTAATTATTAATTGCCAAGGGGCTCTTCGCACGTTGGCCATTCACAGTTGGCGCCGTGCAAGCCCCGCAGAGGTGCGGGCGAGAGGGCGGCCCGAGCCCGAAAGGGCCCGCCCTCGGCCTTGCTCAACATGGTAACGGATAAGAAGAGAAACACCCCCGGACCGGGACGCCGGCGGTCGAGTCGGGACACGCTGTGGTTCAGACGGGCGCGTCCTCACCTAATTATTAATTGCTTGAGGGTCTTCACACGTCCGTCCTTCACAGATGACACGTCGTCACCTAACAATTAATTGCTCGAGCTGACAGGCCCTCGCCTAACCGTCGATTGCTCGAGGCTATTCACACGTCAGGGCCCTGTGATGACATGTCCTCACCTAATTACTAATTAATCAAGGCCCTCGCCTTCACCACACGCCTGCCCGCCGCTGTGCCCCTACGTACCACACAGTTCTGACGCCTCTTCACCACCCCCCTTGTATTCTGTACGTACTTCTGACGTATTGGCCACCCCCCCTTGTATTCCGTATATCCGTACGTACTTCTGACGTGTTCGCCACCCACCCCCCCCTCGTATTCCGTAAGTATTCTCCGAGCGGAAGCCTCGTGCAGGACTGAAGAAGGAGCGGCGGTGACTCGAGCCTACTCTCAACATACCGCTCTAAGATCAGACCGTCTCGGCGACGGGGTTGGTCGAGAAGCGGGCGCAGGCCTTGGAGAGGTAGCCTGCTCCGGCGAGGCCGAGGACGGTGGCGAGGAGACGCTCGTCGCGGCTCGACTCGCTCGCCCCCTCTCCCTCTTCCTCGCCCGCCTCCGCCTCTGCCTCCTCCCCCCCCCGGACGGAGCGTGCGCTCCCCGCCTCATGGCTGCAGCAGCGTCCGCAGCCGCCCCGCTGCCACCCTGGCGCTCCGAGCTCGGAGGCACGCGCCGCCGCCTCCCTCTCCCGCTTGGCAGCGGCGGCGTCGGAAGCCTCTCGCACCATCTCGGCGACCAGCTGCTCCAGGCCGCCTGTCATGACCATCCGGACGCGCCCGAGCATCTCCGACTTGGTCCGCTCCTTACCGCCCTCGCGGAGATGATTGATGGTTACCATCTTGGATAGGATCTGGAAGGCGACGTAGAGCCCCGCGTCCGGGGTGTTGATCTTGATGTGATCGCGCAGGAGCGTGGCGCCGTGGTAGGGCATGCCGTAGTACTCCCGACGCGCTCTCTTCGGTGGGCGGCGGCGACGGACAGTGTCCAGCTGCGCGAGAAGGCGTGGGTGGTTGGCCCAGGGGCGGAGCCACTCGTAGGAGTATCTGACGCCGGGGCTCGAGATGAAGTATTGCGAGCCGCGGGCGTGGAACGCCGCCTTGCGCGCTGCGTCGGACGAGACCTTGGCGCGGCGTGCTTCGGCGCTGGTGGCGGCGGAGCTCCCGTCGTCGCCCGCTGCCCTCTTGGCCCTCACCTTTGCGACCGCAGCCAGCCAATCCGTGTGCCTGCCCCGCATGCGGTCCGGCGTTCGCTCCTTGCGCGCGCCATAGCAGACAGTGCGGAAGTAGTGGGCGGGGGAGCCGACCTCGGCCTGCTGCTGAAGATGCCGCATGAACCCCTCCCTCCCGCCCTGCCACCGCTGGTCGCCTGTCTCGCCGCGGTACTTTGGGTCGCACTTGACGAGGTGCTGGTAGAGCCCGCACTTGCTGCCCACGGTCGCGTACCACTTGCCGCAGTTAGGAACAGGGCACCGAGCCACGCCCATGTCGTACCAGTCCGACTCAAAGAGATCCTCGCCCGGCACGTGCGAGCCCGCCTCCTTGTTGCAGTGCCGCGCCAGGGCAGCGAACGAGAGGGCTGAGTCGGCGCGCCCAAAGCCGCGTGGGCCAGCCCAAGACGGAAGGCAGCGGGAGCAGCCGGTGGTGACCGTCGGGTCGGAGAGCGAGTAGTGAGGGCATCGGACCTCCGGCACTCCGGACGGGCGGAAGGCGGTCGGCTTCTCGCCGCTCGAGAATTGGTTCGAGAAAAAACGCAACGCAGTGCCCGCCGAAGCGACGGAGACGATGGCAAGCGCGGCAGCGCGCTGCGCCGAGGCCACGCATGGAGCGGTCTCGGCGTCGGGCTTTCTCCTCGAGATCGCGGGCCGGCTGCGAAAGAGTGCGCCAGCCGCTGCCGCAGCGCTGCATCCAGACACGACAGCCACGCAGTTCCGCTCCTTTTTGCAGCAGACGGGCTGGTCCGCAGCGCACTCGGGCTACTCCTACAACCTGCTCAAGCTTGTCTGGGACGGCAACGCCTTCCGAGCCGACTCCTCGGACTCACTAGAGGAGCTTGAGGTCCAAAATGCTTCCCACAGCGATCGCAGGCGCCGCAGCCAAGTCTTTGTAAATTTCTTCACCCACGTTCTCGGGCTGAAGCGCAACGCCTCGATGTTCGATCGTCCGTTTGCCTTCTTCCTCGAGCTGTCTGACGCCTCGACATGCCCGCACCCCGATTTGTACCGACATCTCGGCCTTCCCATCCTCACCTCGTCGAGAGGACCGCACGATCACTGGACCATGCTGGTGCCAGATGTGCACATGCTCATCGGTCACGGCTTTGCAGAGGGTGGGCTGCCAACGAAATTCACACGAGAGCTGTGGCGCGTCTATCAACATCGCCTGCGCCCAAATCGTGACACAAAAAGTTGGGCAAGTAAGCTTCCCCACCTGGTGTACCGCCTCCGGGCGAGAGTGTCCCCCCAGCGTCTGCTCCCCAGCAGACGCTCCGGTAATCAGGCCGAGAGTACCAGGCAGCTGGGGAGAAGAGCCCAGGGAGGGGAGAGGAGAAGAGCCCAGGGAGGGGGGAGGAGAAGAGCCCAAGGCGGCCTCCTCTCCCTCCCCTCCCACCGGGCCTCCCTCTCCCTCTCCTCCCACCGGGCCTCCCTCTCCCCCTCCTACCGCCAAGTCTCGAGGGGCCAGCCGCTGGAAGGGGCAAGCCAGCGGCATGAGGGCTTCAGCCACACAGCTACCAAGGGAACGCGACCCACACAAAGCACCACAGTTAGGCATACCCCCCGGCGCACAGTGTCCCCCGCTATGTGTCGCCGTTCGTCGGGGCACGCTATCGGCTGTGCAGTCAGGGCAAGTGGGGGCGGGGTGGACAGCCCAGGAGCGTGCCCTGGGACCTCTCTGCCCAGTCCGGGGGTGCGTCGAACCTTCCATCACCCTGGGAACGTCCGGGTGTTGGAAGTAAAGATATATTACTTTTTCCCCACCTGGTGTATCGAGGATTCGAGGTGCCTGCTCGCCCACTGTCGAGCCCACGATTATGCGAGCGCGTGCGCCTCGCGCGCGCGTCGCCTTGGCCGGCTGCCAACGCATGTTGGTCAGAGGCACGCTTGTCGTGTGTCTTGTCGTGTTTCGTACCGAGAATCAAAGAGTCACGACTGTACCGCGCGAGGCGCCCGCACAACGTACCACGCACGTATCTAGATACATACCGCTGGCGGGCGGCCCGAAGGGAAAGATTGCAGCGCTCGGCTGCGCTCTGGCGCGGAGCGCACGCGCCCTCACGCCACCATGAACCGGCACCCGTACGTCTCCTCGAACGCGACGACCCGCCGCCACCACGCCTGAAACTCGTAAATCTTGGGCTGCGTGCGCTTGCCAAACGTCTTCGCGACGTCCGCAAACATCGCGTTGAGGCCGCGCTCGCCGTGCTTGCCGCGCTTGGCGACCTGCGAGCGGGGAGGGGACAGGGTTGCACGCTGTATGCATTCACGCGAGTGCACGCTCTACGCTGCACGCCTCGAGCCACGTCTTTCCGGCGATCTCCCAGCTCTTGCCAAACACGTAGGCCGCGTTTCTCGGGTCGTCGAGGTCGTCGCTGACGCGCCCTTGGCCGAGATGGAGGTGCGCTTGCCCCCACTCGGGGAAGACGTTGCCAGCCCCGCTCGCCTGCAGCTCTGCGCGCAGGGCCTCCTTCTCGGCGACCTTTTTCTCGGAGTGCTCCTTCTCCGCCTGCGTACCATCACGCATCAACTGTGTGAAGACAGCATATGTGTGTTGCGATGCGTCAAAACCTCACCTCCTCCTCCTCCTCCTCCCGCGGCCGCTTGGACGCCGGCGCCGGCGCCGGCGCAAACTCCTTGACCGAGAAGGCCTATCAGAACATCATGATTTGACAAACAGAAACGCCCGCGTCTGCTGCCGACAGCTGCAGTTGCACAGGCGGAGAGGCGAGGCCCAGGCTGTGCTGCGCCGCGCTTGCCGACAGCGTCGTCGCCGGCGAGCTGAACGCGGGCGGGGCCGCGGCCCCGCCACCGCCTCCGCCGGTTGCAGAGGTTGCGATCATGTTCTCCGGCTTGACGCGGACAATTTGGTCTCCGCCTTCGGGGCGTGGCGTCAGTAGCTCGACCTCCCACCGCCCACGTTTGAACTGGATCGCCCGGCCGGTGAGCCCGTTCAGCAGCGGCCACGCCACGAGGCCGCTCAGCTTGCAGAGCATGCCGGCCTCAATCATCTTTGGTGCTGGGTTCCGGATCCTACCCGTAGGGGGGTCTGCACCGTGACGTCGCACCTGTGGGCAAGCCTCGGACCCTTCACTCCAGTGCAATTCACTCGGGGCCCCAGAGATCGGTGAAAAGAAAGGGCTAAGGGCCCGCGATAGCGCGATTGCGCTTTGCAGCTTTTCCCTAACCGTTTTTGCGAGACGCGGACGGTGCTCGGTGGGGCGCTTGGCCATTGGCATTCGATTGCGCCATTTTGCGCATTGCCATTGGCCCGGGGGCGCAAACCGCAATGCCAATGTTGAGGCGCGGCTTGCGGTCTTGCGCGGTTGTGCACCGCCCACAGGCCGCGCCGCGGCGGCGGAGGCGCACACAGCCGCGGCACGGGACGACATCGCGCTGCATGAAAAACGACCATCTCTCGCACACGGAAGAAGGCCACAACTTTCCCACACAAAGTATACGCATTTTTTTGGGTACGAGAGAGGCACAATCGTGCGTAGAGCGCGTAGTCTGCCGCACGGGGCGCAGCTGGAGACGCCGGCAGGGGGCGCCCTGTCACTCGCCGTGACTGGCTAATCATCGTCGTGCTGCGATACCGAGGCGTACTCCTGCCCGGGTGGGGGCGCATCAGCCATCAGAGGTGCCCGGGTGGGGGTCGGGCGCATCAAGGGGTGGTAGCAGAGGGAGGGTGGGCGCGCAGGGCTGCCGGGGCAGGCGGCTGGGGCATCGCGCCTTGTTGCGCCGCGGACCCGCCACCGCACCCACGGAGTCGTTGAGCCACGCCAGGAAGTCGGGCGACTGGTTGGCCTTGTCCTTGATGATGGGCTTGCCCTCCCTCCACTCGCCCTCAAACCTGACACAGGGGCGGGGGGCGGTCCTGGACGAGGGCATGTCGCGTGCAGCCGGTGCAGCGGCGCGTGCAGCCCGTGCAGCGGCGTGGAGTGGCGCAAGGCGGAGGCGCAGGGCGGAGGCGCAGGGTGGAGGCGCAGGGCGGAGGCGCACAGGTTGCCATGCGGGTCCGTCTTTACGCCGTGGCCGTGCATCTTGCCCTCCTTCCAGCAGCCGACGTACTTTGAATTCGTTCGCCACGTGTAGGTTCCGAAGCCGTGAATCCTGCCATAGCTCACCTGCAGAGGGCCGGTGCGGTGGCGCGCGTGGAGTTCGAAACATGCGCGTGCCACTCCCGCACGTGAACTATGACTGGGATGCAAAGGCGCCTCGCCAATGTACTTGTCGCCGATCTTCCAAGTGTAAACCCCGAGACCGTGCATCCACCTGCACGAGGGCCAGCGGCGGTGCTGGCGGCCTTATACTGGCGGCGGGCGAACGGGCTTGGATGCGCGCATATCTGTGCATACACACGTGTGTGCATGTGTTTGTATGTGTGCTGCGGCGCAGTCCCTCCATCCGGCACCCGTTCTCCCACTCGCCCTCAAACTGGTCGCCACTGGCAAAAGAATGAGTGCCGCGCCCATTCTTGAGGCCAGCCTTCCAGTCGCCCTGGGGGAAGTAGCAGGACGTATCAGGGCGTGCGGGCGACTGTGGGGACGTGCCCGCCGACAACCTGATAGCGCGAGCCGTCCGTGTAGACGCACACCCCTACCCCATGCATCTTTCCTTCCTTGACGTGGCCATTGTATTCGCCCTCCATTGCTTCGACGACAAAAACAGGCTCGGGATCGTTGAAGAGAGAGAGGAGAATAACCGCTACCGATGGACTCCGCGCCGGCTCTGCCTCCTTCTACTAAGCCACTTTTCCAAAAAGAATTCCGCGCGGCAAACCTCTCTCACAGCACACTGGCACGACAAGGGCGCAGACTGGCGCGGACTGGCACACACACCGGCTCACTTTCCAACTGTCAGCAGTTCACCTACGTACGGGTATGTTCGTAAGAGCTACATACACTGAAAAAGAAAACGCCAAGCCGCAGCGTCGCACACCACTCGCGAGTCGCGACCTCTTCGCTGAGAGGTTGAGGTGCGATTTGGCGCTGCTTCACAGCCTTGTTATTGAGAAGAAAATACGTCCTATGGCGCTGTGCGCTGGTCTGTGAGAGCTGAGAGGTTGAGGTGCGAGCCCTGGAGGCGTGGAGGCCCTGGGGATCATGGGGGGAGACTACTTCACACACACACAAGCACTCAAGCACAACCATGGGGCCCCAAGGTCACGCACGGACTCCCGACAGTCCAGAACGGACAGACCACGACGACAGTCCAACAAGCTGCTATTCAAGCTCGAAAACGGACAAGATGCCAACTTCTGAGCGAAAGCCCGCGCCACCGATTTTTCTTAGTCCCGTGCCCAGTGTCGGGCGAGGGAGCTCTGTTGGAGCACTTGGAGCACTTGGAGTGCCGTTGCGCGATCATAAACTTCTTTTCTAAGCGGAAGCGGGGACGGTTACGCCCCACACATGTCGTCGGACTGACTTTCGCAGCCTCGCTCGCTCGAATGTCCATGCTCGGCGTCCCACCGCTGGGCGACACATGGCACAATGGCAACTCTGCTGGCAACAAATCGATGCTCACGTACCGCATGGGAGTGGGCGTGCCAGGCCACACCGGGTTCACTCCTGCTGAGGAGTGCCTCTCGATTCCGATCAAGGCAGGCGCAATGGAGAGGGCGCCGTTGATCTCCCGCTGTGCAGGGCAGAGCATGACCGAGCACCCTGCCGAGGAGAAGTACTCGACCCACCGCACCGACTTCTCTCTCTCGCCGGAGGAGTTTGCGTACGCTACCAGGCCGAGCGGTCCTTGGGATCTGCATGCTCAGCGAGCCATCGGTGACCCGCCCTTCGTCCGCCGACCCGAAGAGAATCGTACGGAGAGGTAGATGCTACGAGGTGATAAACACACGGCGTTGCTCCCGGAACGGTAATGCGGTTGCTCGCGGTAAAGATGAAACTGCCCCTGATTGACATCCAGGCAAGCGGCCGTTCCACGGCGAGAGCACCTTCCGCGACTCCTTCTGTGACACCGCTCGTGAGCGAATGCTCCCATCGAATGTGACCGCGCTTGGACAGCTGCGACCATCCACGGTGGCGGTTGACGGCGGAGTCAACCCCTTCTACGAGACGGAGCAGCGAGCAAAGTCGGCGCAGGTGCTGCGAGGGTCTGCTCCTCGGTTCGGCGGCCGCGGTGTCCGCCGCCCGGCCCAGCACTGGACTGGCTCTCCGACGGCAGATCCACGGCTTCTGCCGCCGGAGTGGTCCACCTCGTATCGCTCGGCCTTTGGGGGGAAGCCAGAAGGGCCTACAGGCACGCACAAAGGCACCTGCCACCCACCAGGCTACACGGGCTTCATTCCCGCGACCGCGTTCAGCGAGCGTGCCACAGCGCAAGCTAAGATGGAGATGCCGCGCGACAATGGCAGCTGGCAGCTATCTGGACTTCACCAGTACCCGCGTGAGATCCCAGGTTACACGGGCTATCGGTGAGCTAGACGACATAGACCTTCCTCTCCCTCGGCCATCCCGCCCGCCCGCCCTCAGGAGCACGCCCGAAATAGGCCAACTGCGATGCAAAATGACGCCGGTGTTCAGCGTGGTGACCCTCAGCTCACATCGACGGGCCGTTTCTTTGCCCAGGGCACCAACGGCTTCCAGCCCGGCGAGCTTGGGCTCTCAGTTGGGGCTCTGGCTTCGCGCAAGCCGCAGCCATCTACGCACGGCATCAAGGCGAAGATCCTCGACGAGCTCTTCTCGCAGGAGGCCGCAGGAGGGAACGTGTCCGACAATGGCCGATTCGAGGCTCAGGCGCGCGCTCCATCACCTCCCTTGCGGGCGCTCACCCTCCCAGATCCAGCCCACCCCACCCTAATCGGTCCAGGTGTACTATGCCAAGACTCGACCTTACGAGGGCCGCTCCCGTGCCATTATCGGTGCCCCGAATATCCTCGGGCAGCCGCTGCCGCAGAAGAGCGCAGTCTGCGTGTAAATAAATAAATAAATAAAAACGGACACCTCTCTACTGTGAGATGGGTAAAAGGAACAGGTCCCCGCCCTTGCGATCTTTTTGTGCAGGGTTCTTTGTGGGTGTGGTCGGCGACTAGCCGGGGTCGTCCTCCCGGTGGGGGACTAGCACTAGCCGTCTTCCACATGGTCCCTCGGGTCCCTGCTACTCCTAATCTCTTCGTACATCCTCCTGCTGATCTCCGCAAAGTCCTGCTCCCTCCCTCGTCTCGCTCTGCGCGTCTGCGTGTGAGTGCTGCTGCTTCATGAGAGCCCGGCGCATTCCAAAGCGGCTAGTTGAGATGCACCCGGGACAGTAAAAAAGTCCACTGAAAGCGCGAACGCGGCGGCGGCGATCGAAAGAAACAAAATCCAGAAGCGCGCATTAATTAAAGGTGGTCTGGTACCCGATACATAGACTTTGGCGGAGCATCTAAGGACTATGGTACGTAGAAAGGATGATATATGTAGAAAGAAGGAGAGGTACCCTGACGAAATCACTTCGCCCTCACTCTTTTACATCAAGGGCGGGGACCTGTTCCTTTTTACCCATCTCACAGTAGAGGTGTCCGTTTTTATTTATTTATTTACATCAATCGTGTACACTAAACAGCATATCACGAGAATTCGAGATGTCACAGTTCATTGTTTCTCTCTCGGCGAAATAATGAGCTATACGGCCGCTCGAGCTTTTGGACCTCCTCGAGCATGACCTCCTGGAGTGTACGAACCGTATGAGTGGACGGTGAAGTCAAAAGAACGGGCACAACGGTCCGACCAGTGAGGCTGGACACCAGCCGCTAACGTAGGTAGGAATCGCCACCTCGCTGGCCTCTCCGCAGCCCCCCCCGACCGCGTCGAACTCATCGGCGCGGGCTCTCTCTCGGCTACGGGACCGGCCCCAGGGTTCCGGCTCCTACCCGGATAGGGGGTCTGTTGACCACGGTGACACCCTATGCATAGGGTAGGTAGGTAGGTAGGTAGGTCCGGCTTTGACCGCCCCAGAGGGCCCTGCAACAGGTAGGTACCCCCTGTTTTCGTCTTTTTTCGCTTCGCTGCGCGGCCTGGGGATAGATAGGTAGGTAGGGCGTTTTGGCGCGAGTCGTGGTCAACAGACCCCCTATCCGGGTAGGAGCCGGAACCCAGCTTCGGCTGAGGGCCAAGCTGCCGAGCCCAAATCACTGTGAGAGTCGTGATTTCTTGTTGGTTTTCTAAAATCTCTCTCTAGGTAGGGCGTAGGTAGGGGTGGGTGAAGTAAGCGAATTCAATTGGTATTGGAGGGCGGAGAGGGCGGTCACACACTCACTCACACTCTGGCAGTGATTCACGGGCAGGAAGGAGTGGGGTGCGAGTGGTCTGGAGGTGGAGCGACGCACAGTCACAAACAGCCGGCTGGGCTGTCGCACGCCCCGTGCGCGCACGGGACGACGAACGACAAACTCGGGGTCTGTCCAGGGAGGGTCTCGCTCACTCATGAAAGTAAAAAGTCCCTTTCCTCATCCTTCCTTCTTCCTTCATTCATTCATCAATAGTCATTCACATTGATTCTCCTCGGATCTCGCGGGGGTGCGAGAGGGGGTAATGACCCCTTCGCCGATCTCGGATAAATCGGATAGGATCTCCCTCCGTCTCCCAGGGGGCGGAAAGGGGGTGCGGGGATGTTTGTGGGAAGCGAACTAATGAGAAGAACGGGAAAGGGGTGGCCCTAACTGTAGGGCGCGTCGGGCTGACCGCATTTTGGTGCACGGCTTATAACCACCGCCCCGCAGGCTCGATGCTCCCTGCCGCAATCCCAGGCTCAGGCCCAGGCGTGGCTCAGGCCAACGCCGCAATGGATTGTATCGCGTTGTGGGGGCTCTCGGACCTCGCGGGACTTCTCAACCACCCAGCGCATCCACCACCTGGAGACCTCATGGACCCGTCAGACACGCGACAGATGCTGCTCGATCTCGACTTCACGGGCCTGCCGGACAGCTCTAGCGAAGGTTCCGTCGAGCCCAATGGGTTTGCCAATGCAGCGGCCGAGTCGCAGTCGGCTCTGCAGCAGCTCGGCATCCAGCACTGCCTCGAGCAGAGCCCGCCGACTTTGCGTCCGCGGCGCGACACGCCCCACGACAAGGAGGCGCGCTGTCACCCGCCCCTGCTGTTCTCCCTGCGTGCGCCCCTCCTCGCTTCCACACCCCCCCCCCCCTTTTTGCAGAAGAATGACTTCTTCGAAAAGACGCGGTAGGTGCCTGCTCTTCAAATCGCTCAGCCTGGGATCAGAAAGGAACTGCCCCCCCCCCCCCACGCCATGAAACTAAAATCCTCAGAAGCTAAGGCGTCGTGGCAACCTATTTTTTCCTGGGGGGTTCGCCCACCATCTTCCTCCAGAAAATTCACCCAGGCTGGAGGGGGAAAACAGATCTATGTCAGCTCTCCTTTAAAGGCACTCCCGTTCGGCTTATCTAAAACCTCACACAATTCCTTGGGGCCC